AGGTGAAGGAAGTCGTCAAATCCGCTGAAATGCTGCCAAAACGACCATACATTTGTATTAAACGAACGAAATCAAATGACAAATGCATGCAAAAAAACAACTGGGAAGGATAAAATCGCGCGAAAGATATGCGCAGACGAGATTAGCAGTGGATAAAACGAGGAAACAAATTCAATTGGAAAAAAAACGGTGCCAAAAATGAACAAAAATGTCACTTTTGCATTGCATTTGGAAAGTATGCCAGTGATCAAAGCTCAGACACTTCGTGGCGTTTCAGGAGGCCGAAAACGTGGCGGTGGAGGTGGCGGATAAGGCGTATATTCTGGTGGATGAACTGGTGCGGCTCCATCGTTTATTGGCTGAGAAACTGAAGATGATGTGACTGCCTGAAAATTAAATTCTAAACAATCCACTACTTTCAAAACTGGAAATTCAGGGAGATATTTCCTCCTAACAAATCATTCCTGGAAAAAAAATTAGGATTCTGAATAAAATTTACTCGTCCTATGACTCCGTTCATTTTTTCAATAGAATCTTAATGCTGGAATACATTACCTTTTTATGTCCTATTCTGAAAAAGATCAAGACTCTGTGTAAGCTTAAAATGAACCGGATATTTTCCACGCATTAATATTTCAATTTGTAGAGATACCCAAAATTAAAGTACGGCAGTTTTAAATGACAGAGCACTTAACCTCGAAATAATAAGGAACAAAAATTCTCACAGGAATGTATATACATTTTCATATCCGATCGCTAATACAGCATTTTACTACAGCAGACGAGTGACTGATGTTGAACCTAGGCAGGTTGCACCCTAAGCTGAACTCAAATATCCGAAACGATTTGGCAGACTATTCCAAAGTCTAAAGCATAAACTACTGAACACCCTGCGGCAGCAGCCTAACATTCAATTCTATGTCCTAGTAAGACCGCTCAGACAATCAGTGTGAGGACCCCATGTTAGTGATGTTATTGAAATGCTTGGGGGTATAGCAGTGCGATTTAGATTTTATAGGATATCTGCGTAACTTCAAATAATTTATCTCTCGAAAATGCTATATTTTACATAGCCAGAAAATAACATAAGTGCTAGAAAGTTTTGCAGGTGCGGTAACAGAATGATGTAAAATCACCAAAAAAGGAAGAAAATTAAACCTGTTCATAAGATGGCGGTGGGTCCATCGGTTTTGTAATATTAGAAGATACATGAGGGTTGAAGACTGGTATCGTGTCAAGCCTTATAATGTAAGATGGCAAGACGCTTCTATCTGGCCTCAATACCAGCGCCGATTCATTGCCAGCCTCGTTCAATAAATTCTCCTGAAACAAAGGCACACCGCTAAAATTTGCAGATAATCAGAACTTCCAAAATAAGCGACCTGATCGGATAAGCTTCATCGAAAATAATGTATACAGACGACCTATCTAAAATAAGGCAAAAAATCCCACGTTTAAGTTTCATTCTATGTACAAAAGACTACAATTTTTGTTTGACGGAATGAAAATACTTTCTCAGAATACTTTCTTTGCCTGAATGAAAACACTTTCTGAGCGGCAGACATCAGGTGACAAGGCTATTAATGACGTCATTCCCAAACATTAACATAAAAAAGTGCTGAAATTTTCAAAAAACAAAAAATTTTAACAATTCAGACAATATGAACTGCTAATGAGAGGGAAGACCTGCAAGCGGAGATAACTTTCACTGCCTCTCGCATTTT